GTGTCTAAAAATTCAATACATTTCCCAAAAAAAAAATTTTAATCAAAACCTCTCTTGTATGGCAATTGATGGCAGCTGTCCAAAGTTAATAGGTCCATCAAATAGTTGTAGTGGACTCTAAACTTCTATTTGGGCACGTTTCGCCCACCGATAACATTCGAAATAGAGGGTGCAGACACAGAAGATGAATGAGTGAATTGTTGCCATTATTTTTTGGGGGCTGGACATGGTTGAGGTTCAGTGAACACCTGCAGAAAAAACAACATAAATATGTGTCCTACATACAAAGAAACCAAGACAAAGGCCATGATGAAAGGTTCACATGAAATAAAATCGTTTTAAACAAACATTAGGTCATAGTAATTTTGGTCCTCTTAAAATGAGAGTTCTTTAAGCTTATGTAATACATGCCTCAACTATTTATCCTTAATTCTTATTTTATCCATTCTAGTATGACCACGTATAAAATCATAAATTACCATTAGTTCTAATAACAATTATGAACAACCTACCTTTTAAATTAGTACGCATCTACCAATCACATAGAATTCTATAATACCACTACGTTTTGTTCGACCCACTCCAATTCTAAAATTGTGTCCTAATAATCAAAACTAAACACCTAAAACTCTTTGAGACAACACTATCATGTGTTATGATTTTATATTGTCCAAAACACAACCAATAATAAAGAACATTTTGACTTGACTTACCCGTCTCTTGGCCTCTCGAAACAAGAGATTCCTTCAGTAATTCAAGTGCGACATTCTGTAAAAATTAGAACCAGTTATGGATACTTGAACTGCATAGCTAAAATCTACAAATACACAAAATAATACAAATATTCAAAGGGAAAGACCTAATTCGTAGTGGGGAAAACACCATGACCCCTTGGGGACATGATGCACTTGGAAGCAGAAAACATACATATTCTAGGAGTCAACAGCACAAAATACTTGAAACTCCATGGAGACAATACCAATACTAACACCAAGATATAGAAATTTCTTCAAAAGAAAGATTACCTGTCCAAACTGAAGAAAGCTGTGACTGTAGGATGGCAAGTGAAATTACCAAATTTAACTGTTCGAGAGTACTCAGAGGCATTGGCTCGTTTGAGAAAAAGGTAATCTGAAACAATTATGGACACATTATTATCAAGACCTGTAAAATGAATCTCATATGTAACAGAACAATAACACGATGTCTAATAGGGAGGATTAAATAGTACTTGACACTAACAAATGCAAAACAAAATGAAAATATCTTATTTATTATACTATCCAGTAAAGGAACATATATCATATCGCATGGTCCACTTGGCGGAGAGTATTAGAGTAATCGAGTAATGAATGACATTGTTCATCTCTAACACAATGAACAACCACAATAAACAAATAATAATTTAAAAATGGATTTAGAACCTGAGCCGAAGCACCACCAAGTTCAATAATCCCAGTTGTTTTTGCAGGATCACCTCCAAGTGTTCCAAGAGCATAATTTGAGACAACCCAAGCATATAAACCTTCATCAGAGCCTTGAGCAATTGAAGAATTAGATGTTAATAATTGGAAATATCTAAGATCAAAACTTAAAAAATAACACCAATGTGCAACAATGTGCAGAAATAAACACAAACATGTATAGAGAGTAATGAAATTTAAAATAAAAGCATCTAATATATCCTAAAAGCTATCAAAGAATCTAGGAAACTAAGTACAGATATATGAAGAGAAAATTCAATCTAGACACTGCTAACATTTTGCCTCCTCGACTCACAAAAAGTTTAACATTTTTGTTATAGAACAACACAAATATTCCATTAATTGTATCCACAACGTCTACCGAATCTCAGCCTCTCCCTGACCCTCCCTAGGCACATTCTTCTTTGTAAACTCCACCAGTTCTGTTACTGCGGCCCCTGCCCTTTCGGGTTCCTCTGCATCGGCCGACAATCCCGAATTTACCTTCATTGATACCAACCCTTTTTCCATGAAATCAGGCACCAAATTCCCACTCCTAACCTCGTACTTAAACACGTGAATCCTCGTCCCTGTAAGCTCAAATTTATCTAGTCCCACTTCAAGTTCTCAAAAGACAAATCAAACCACGTTTTAAATGCCCAATTTACTCAAAATCCAGACTCCAAATAAAAACCCAGTAAATACCTACCTGTTATGCCTCAAATCAAAGCAAAACCATAATAACATTCAAAATTAAGCTTCGCCAAAGAGATAAGACAAGTCATTTACACTTACAGAATAATCCTTCCTCGCTAAATGGTCCGCAGCTCACCATTTAACCTAAATTAGCATATAAAAATTCAATTTTAAGTATCTGCGAGTGTTAGTTCGTGTAATTAGTCCAAAATTATATAAATAGAGAGTTGATCGTCAGCTTCTTGGGTGAGTGTTACAACACCCTCGACGTTGGAGGTGCCCTTGAGGACCGTCGCGACCTTCTTGGTGGCGGAGGCGACAATGGCAACGGCTTTTGGTCGGCGGAGGTGGAGGTGGAGGTGGAGGTGGAGAATGACATGTAGGGACGGGTGGTAGAGACTTTGAGTGAAAGGCCGTGAAAGGAAGAAGTAAGGCTCTGTTTGATTCGCGTAATTTTCCATGGAAGTAGGAAAATATTTTCATACTTCCACTTTTTGACTGTTTGATATGAGA